CAGTGTGCCTCTCAAGTAAATGGTTGTTTTTGTTGTCCAGGATCTACCCTTTATCACTTGCTGGCTCTCATTGGGGAATCATTTACAATGACTCAAACTGTGAGTCAGGAAGTAAGAGTCTCCCTGGTGTCACACTAAAAAGACTTGTGAGACTCATAAGCTACAGAGGCTTGATGAACATATAATCTATGGGATTGAAATAGCACTTTAAAATGGGTATATTTTTCTTGCAGATGTCCTTGTGAGACTGTTCTCTTGCCTCCTAGAATGGGCTTTATTTTGACATGGAACCCATACTAAATGGCTCAATACCCAGTGTGGGGTTGTGCAAGAGGCAGCTGATCAATTATTCTCTCTCATCTTTGATGTTTCTATCTCTCTTTTTCTCTCTCTCCCTTCCTCGCTGAAATCAATAAAAATATATTTTAAAAAACACTTAAAAAAAGAAGTGGTAAATATATGTAATGGATTATTACTCAGCTATAAAAAGGAATGAAATCTTGCCAATTATTACAATGTGGATTGACCTAGAAAAATACATTAGACAGAATAGATAAAAACCATATGATTTCATTTATATATGGAATATGAAAGCAAAATAAGTGAACAAACAAAACAGAAACAAACTCATAGATACAGAGAACAAATTGATGGTCACTAGATAGGAGGAGTTTGGGGAGATGGCTGAAAAGGTGAAAGTACAAATTGTCAGTTATAAGAATAGTCATGGGGATGTAAAGTACAGCATAGGGAATATAGTCAGTAATCTCTATATATAAAAGCCTAATATGCTAAGTGTCCTACTGATCTGTCAACTGTTTAGTTGACTGCTCAACCAGTCGCTGTGATGTGCACTGATCACCAGGGGGCAGATGCTCCGACCAGTAGGTTAGGTTGCTGCTGGGGTCTCACCTATCAGGACTGGACGAGATGGGCCGGAGATGCCCTGGAGCCCTCCCGCAGTCCCTACCTGGCCTCTAAAATATTTCTTCTAATTAATTTCCTTTCAATGTGCACAAATTCATGCACCGGGACTCTAGTATTGTAATAAATATGTGTAGTGTCAGATAAGCATAAGACTTATTGGGATGGTCACTTTATAAGGTATATAAATGTCTAATCTCTATGTTGTACCTGAAATTAATATTAGGCGGCAGTCGGACATCCTTAGTGCTGCTGAGGAGGTGGGAGAGCCTCCCACCACCACCGCTCTACTGGCAGCCATCAGCCTGGCTTGTGGCTGAGCAGAGCTCCCCCTGTGGGAGTGCACTGACCACTAGGGAGCAGCTCCTGCATTGAGTATCTGCCCCCTGGTGGTCAGTGTGTGTCATAGTGACTAGTCATTCCCAGTCTTTCTGCTGTTAGGATCAGTTTGCATATTACCCTTTTATTATATAGGATAGAGGCCTGGTGCATGGTTGGGGGCTGGCTGATTTGCCCTGAAGGGTGTCCCGGATCAGGGTGGGGGTCCCACTGGGGTGCCTGGCCAGCCTGGGTGAGGGGCTGAGGGCTGTTTTCAGGCTGGCCAAGCCCCCCCGGCAACAGAAGCTCCCAGCCTCTCCTTTTTTTCTTTTTTTCTATTCTGGGGATTTATTTACCTTCTATAATTGAAACTTTGTTGGTTTGAATGGAGCTCAGAGCCCACAGCAGCAAGCAGGAAGTTTGGCTTCCTCCATCATTGGGGCAACCAAGCCTCCTGCTTGCTCCAGCTCCGTGGCTGCCGGCTACCATCTTGGTTGGGTTAATTTGCATATAGTCACTCTGATTGGCTGGTGGGTGTGGCTTAAGGCATAGCAAAGGTACGGTCAATTTTCATGTTTGTCTTTTATTAGTGTAGATATTCTCCTAGGTCTCCAAGTAAAATAGCTGGGCCTATTAGGTGACTCACCCCCGTCCCCCCTTGGTGTTTTCCAGTTTCATCTTGTTTAAGTGTCAGTAGGGATAGGAATGCCTAGTTTGATAAGTTCAGCACAAGAGTAGGAAGGTTGGGGCACCTAGTTCAACTTGTTTACCATCTTGCTTTCTATCACTATTTCCATCATTGCCTGGGAATGATGGTGCTAGAATGAGGTTGGTGGTGGTGGTGGCGGCAGCAGCAGTGACCGTGGCTGCCTCTCTGATAGATGGCTATCTCAAAATGCAATGGCTTGAGTAGAGAGTGAGTTGCCTTGAGTGAAGGTGTTTAAACAGAGACAGTGAGTCTACATTGGGAACTTAAGCCTCCATTGTGGGCTAAGACTGAATAAATGATATATCAAAGAATCTGGATTATACGGTAGAATAAAAGGGAATTTTTATTTTCCTATGAAGCATTCTATTACTAAATTGATCATTTACATTAAGATATAACAATTTAATAGCATTACTAGACCAACAGAATAATGACTCCAGTAGTAGTAAAAATTAAGAGATAATATTGTTGAATATAATATTTACTGATATAATATCTGTAAATTAAAAAATCATTAATGTGCCTTGATTTTATTGGGAGTAAAGTTAATTGTTCTTACTAAAATATAAATAAGCAAAAGCTGAGTTAAGAGGATACTGTTCTTTGGCTGAGTAGCAGTGGTGTGTTGGGTAGAGCAAATGAAGAGATGATGGAAGTGATGATGGAAGGTCAGAGAAGAAGTGAGGATGAGCCTTACAGACAGTTTTCTCTTCTGTCCTTGACCTGTTGAACTGGTTTTACTAGTTCATATTACTTTCTATTGCCATAGTAGACTAATCAAAGGAGCTCTGGGACCATTTTAGGCATTTTTTTTTTACTCCCTTCTACTATTATCTAGGCCTCTGTCTAGCTTGGAATTCTATGGGAATCCATCTGGATTCTTTTCTTACATCACAGAAAGATGCACTCTAAGGATGAAGGAGATGTAAGTAATTTATTTCTTTTTAAATGCTGATACATCTAATACCTTGCTCCTCAAAATATAGTCTGTGAACAAGCAGCAACTGCAGCATGGACATCACCTGGGAACTGGTTAGAAATGCAGAATCTCAGGCCCCACCCTGCTCTACTGAACCATAATCTGCATTTTAACAAGATCTTCAGTGGGAGTCACATGCACATTAATGTTTGAGAAGTATTGCTCTACCATATTCTTATAGGGTGTCATCTACTCCCAGAGTTTCAGTAATTTCCTGGAATGAGTTTAATTGAGGTTGTGCTATCTCTTAATTAATCTATTATTACATTTAATCCCAACAACAAACCTTGGAGATACATTCATCCTTATATTGCAGGTGAGACAGGGAAGTAATTTATCTAAGAACATACAACTAGTACATGGTGAAGAAGTTATACCTGACTGTGACTGGTTTCCATGTCTTTTTTCTTACCCTACACTCTATTGCTTTTTTCTTGAGCTTAATCATGAGTGATTGTTTATACATTAGGAAAATAAAGCTAATTACAAAATACATTGTAAAGGAGAGCCCTATTGAGTGTGTTAAAAGAAGGAGGTCTTTCATTCATTCAAAGATTATTTCAAATAGTGTTTCACATGTATGGTGATAAGCATCATTTGTCCCTGGCTTTTAGTATAACTTGGGAAAATGAGCAGACTGCATCTTGTTATGCCCACACTTCATCTGTCCATCAATTGACTTGCATCTTGTTGCTGCTGAGGCAGGTCCCATCTGTTCAAGCCTGTGTTGAGCCAGGTGCTAAGAGCAGTACTGATTATGTTATGTTGAGGCTGTTCATATGCCTCCAGGCAAACTGTGGTTCAAGAGCTGTGAAACTATTTGCCATTTCAATCTATCAGATGGCTTGGAACAAAACCAGTCCCAATAAGGCTATTTGAATGCTTTATATTTTCCAAAAGAGTGTTGAGCTGATGGCCACCAATCAAATTATTAAGAAATACTGTATTTTCAGAATAGCTCTATTTTCCAGGGAGAAGTGCAAGTGAAGAAACCCTATAAAACACTGGAGATGACTCTGATCACCCTTTGTTCTTGTAAAACTCTATTCAACTGCGAAGATAGAGGATTAAACCCAAAGCAACTGACATCTGCTTTGATGCTGGAGGATCCTGTATCACTTTTAGCACTGAGGTTATAACCCAGATGGACTTGTTTCAAGCTGGGTAACATCCAGCTTGGCCGATATTACAAGCATTTCTTGGGGGAACTAGATAGTGCTTTAAAATGAGCAAGGATTAGAAGCATGGAGTGCGGCGTTATGTCCCAGTATCTTAGAGTAGAACTGGGTGTATACATGGGGGGCATAGTTTTCAGTTGGGTAAAGGCAGGGGAAGCAGTAATGCTTCTTGATGGGTTTCAGGGCTGTTTTCACACTTGAAAGGGACTCTTGATTCACCCTTTCGTAGGATGTGAGAGTTTGTCCGTGGAGGAGACCAGCCTCACGAGGTCTCTTTCCAATTCCTTGTGGGGCCCTGCTTTCTCTAAAGTGATGACCTTGAGGGTTTCCAAGCCTAGGAGCTTTTAGAGCCAGATCGGCTGCCTGGGAGCAGGGCCTGATAGCGACGCCCTTCTCATGCCTTCATGGTCACCCTGTTCTTCCCTCCTGCTGTCTTTTTATAGTAGCACAAGACTGGGACTCTGGGCCCAAGACTGATTAACTTGGCGGTCCCACCCCTCTGTTCAGAACCAGCCCAACTCGAAGAACTCAGTCAGCCGCCTCGAGAGTAAAGGTTTTGCGTTAAAAAAAAAAAAAAGAAAAAGAAAGGACAAACCCATTCTAAATGTCAGTTCTATATCCACCGGGACTAGTGACAGCAGGTAATTAGAAGCAATTAGCTGTCCCCCTGCCGGGAAGCCGGGCAATTACCTTTTTCTCTCTTCCTCTTCGGTCCTTCTCCCGTAGAAGCTGTAGGAGTGCTTTGCTCTCTAAACTGCTACGTATGCTGAGCTGGCACAGGAATGAGGGATGAACTGAGCAGGGATTCCGTCTCCTCCTCCCGCCGTGGCTGTGGCCGCTGGCGGAGCAGTGCATTGTGGAGGCTGAGCGCGCC